TCATTCACGTTTCTTTTACTCAGACCCTCCTGCCTCCCTCTTATAAAGACCTTTGTGCTTACATTGGGCACACCTGGATACTCCAGGATACTCTCTCCATTTCGTTTCGTACATCTGCAAAGTTCCTTTTGCCATGTAAGGTATTCATAGGTTTTGGGGATTATGTTGTAAACATCTTTAGGGCTCCATTATTCTGCCTTCTATAGATTCTATAGGAACTAATGATCTTAGATCCCAAAAGACAGAGGCAGAATGAATTTGTATATTTAAAGAGTATGCAACCCAAATGGTACCTTTCTGGCTATTCAAAATAGTTGACTTTCTGCAGCTCATTATATCATCACTCTTTCATCATGAGCTGTGACTCTCAAAATATTCCAAAATCATTCCCAGCTTCTCCATTGGTGAGACCCTTATGACAACAATCCTTGCCATGTCATGAAGCATTTAAAGGGCTCCTATTGCCTTCTTTCCTTTCACCACCAAACCAACACTTATCACCTCCATTTTTTTTAGCTCCCATTCACACTTCTACCCCGGAAAAGCCAGCACCAGTCTGGGCTTCAGTTTCCTCGCCTAAGTCAGGTCCTTTATTATTGAGATGTTCCTCTCCAGCTTTGAACTCCATGACTCCAGGCTACTTCTTCTCAGTCATACAGTCTCAGGAGTGGGCTTGTTCCCTTCAAGTCTCTTAGTCCCTATTCAATTATATTTCTCCTAGGAGCTCAAGCCAAGCTGTCAGTCTAATCAGTTTGTTGTGACGAGCTTCAGGACAGAATTCAGCAAAAACTTTTTCGATATTGTAGAATTCCATTAAAAGAACAATTCAAGCTGGGAATGAAGCCTGCTTCTGCATCCCTGGAGGCTTCCTTCCTGATTTGGGCTGCGTCCTGATGCCCTGCTGGCTTCCCTATTCTAAGAAAGGAAAAAAATCACCATCTCAGGTTGGAAGGAGATAGAAACCCCAGCACAGATGTGCCCAAAGCAGCCTGGCTTCTTAGAGATCCTGGTTACTAACAGCTTTCCCTTTTAGTTATGTATTTATTCTTCATATAATCAGTTACCTCTTTTGGGCTGAAGAAAAACAATACATCCATCATATAACCAGGGAAAGAGAGCAGTTTCCTTTCAAGAGTTCAGTATCCTATTAAATATTTTAAATTGCTTTATAAAATATTTCAAGCTTGGATTTTCTGTAATTTAGCTTGTAATAATCACCGAGGGAGATCTTACAATGGTTGATTAGGCTCCAAGAGCTTTTCCTGATTATCTTCAGAAAGACCTGATTATCTTCCTGCTTCTAGAAGAAGGGGTCTATTGGGGAATGCTCCTCCAATGAAGTATGAACAGGGAAGCTTTGCCTCTGGTCTTGTGCTAACTTGTAATAAGTGAATAGTTAATACAACTTCGTTTCTTTGTTCATTCCATGTATTTACTAAGGCCTTTCCATGTGCTGGGGTCGGTACTGGACAGTAAGTACAGATATGAATTAGACACAACTTGGTTTTCAGGTACATACGTAAACTAGTGCAATAAAATGTCATGGATTCTTCTGAAGCATCTGTAAGAGTATACAATGAGGGTAAAATGGGACTGGATCCATGATTTTATTATCAGGAAATGGAAGAGTATCTCTTGATGCTTGTAAGTTCTTACTCAGAGCAGCAGACATAAATGAAAATGCATTTTGAAGGAGGCCTGGCATTGTCCCTAAATATTTATGGATTATCGAACTTAAGCCAAGAAGTCTTTGATGGTCAAGAATTTATTTGACTAAAGTATCAGACAAAAAAGCAGAACAGTTACAGAAGAGTCAAAGAAGGAGGAGATTCCCCTTGCTAAAAGAATAGAGACCAGGGAAATAAAGAGATAGTAAGAATTCAAGGGAGTCTACTTAATTATTAATATTAAGTAATACTAAATATTTACCTGATAAGGGTTGAAAGTTTTTCCATACTCTAGTCAAACTTACCAAATTTGAATTGATAATTCAATAAATATGAAAGTATGAGATTTCTTTCATGGCCTTCCTTGCAATGGTAAAAACAGAATATGTGACTTAAAAAATAATTAGTCTTTATAAATCTACAGGGAATAGCTTAAAGTCTCAAGTGGTTCCTATATTTCTTGAGAAAGAAAAGATATTATTTTCTACAATAGTCATTTTAAACAAAAGCAGTGCTAGATGATTTAATAAGGGGAAAATTAATAACTCAGTAAAAATACAGGCAAAGAAAAAGAATAGGCAGTTCACAGAGAAAGAAATATGAATGGATTATACAAATACAAAAAATATTCAGCGTTACTTACAGTTAAAGATAGGCTAATCAAAACAAGGAGATAGCTACCTGCTTGCCAACATTTAGGCACTTGGTACTATCCAGTGTTGAAGAGTGAAGAAACTCTAACCTCAGACATTGTGGATGAGAGAAATACGGGTGCAGCCATTTTGGAGAGCAATTGGATGCTAACAAAATTGAAGATGCACACTTACCCTGTAACTAGTAACTCCACATCCAGAAATTTATCCTAAGTGGTCAAAGAAGTTATGAACAAAGATGTTTCTCCAGCTGAGTTTCCAATAGCAACACCGAAATATATCTATCAATTGGAGATCAGTTAAGTAAATTATGGTTGATTCATACTATGGAATATTATGCCACTGTTAAAGAGTAAGATGTCAGTACATTTGTGCTAACGTTACAAAGCAAGATGCAGAGTAGTGTGTTTGATGTCTGTAAATAAAATATGTATTAAAACAAGTACCCAAGAAATTACTAGTATTGGTTCTACAGGGAGTGGAGTTGGGTGGATTTGCAGTAGGAAGGAGATTTAATTTTCATTGTATACATTGGATTCTGTTTCACTTGTTTCCCTCTGTATGTGTTTCTTTTTTCAATCAAAAGTGAAAAGTAGTTTAAATAGTAGGTAGAAATGCTCAGTGATGGAGTGCTATTGTCAGAAGACTATTTGTTGTCCTAGAATAGAGACAAATTCCTCAACTTTAATCATCTTGAGCTCTAATTAGTACTTCTAGGTCGTTTTCTGGAGCTTCCAGTGAGCCAGGTAGAGCTCACCAGTGTCTCTTTGACTCTGTTGGTTTATGAACACTGGATGAAACAACCATCTCTTCCAGACTTGACAGACTTGTCTTATGTAGGAGATGACCTTTCAACTGGCCTGGCCCAAGTTCCTGGTTGCCGAGAGTGATTGTCTTTGTTCTTAGTGGTTCCCAGTAGTTGAGATTCTGCTACGACCTTTTATTGTCCCAAGGGAAGGATCATACGATGCAAGCTGATTAGAAACTGGAGCCTCAGGCAACAACCAGGAAAGTATTCAGTCAAACCCTTCCCAGGGAGAAACTGAGAGATGGGCGTTTTTTTGCCTGCTCCCTCTGTACTGAGCCTGTATGTCTCGCTGTGGAGGGTGAGCCTCTGTGTTTTCAAAAATTGCTTCTTTGTTTGCTGTATTCTGTGGGACTCATGAATGCAAGCCCCATTGGATATCAGAGTTATGTGACTGGAGGGCCTGTACCTTGAATGACAGCTGTAAAAGATAGGATGCTAGATGTATGAACAAGCTCCTTCCAGGAACATGCTGGCAATTTGGTTTCGCTGTCGGAGCAAGTGCAGGGAAGAAGGCAGGAGAAGTGCCCACCAGGTACCCCAGCCAACTGAGGTGTATCGCAGCCAGCACCTGGATTTGTGCTAATTAGAAGCTGGACCCTCAGGCATCAGTTTGTAAAGTAGACAAACTCCTTCCAGGGAAAGACTGGGAGATGGGCTTCTTTGCCTGCTTTTTGCATGCTGAGCTCTTGGGGGATGGCAAGGTGAGTGCTTGGACACCTGTTAAAAACTGCTTCTTTGTTTGCTGCATTCCAGTGGGATTCAGGAATGCAAACCCCCTTGGTTTTCAGAGCTGGGTGATTTGGAGGCCATCCCTCAAGTGGGAGCCTTAAAAGTTGGAGTACTAGTTTTGTGGCCCAAACCTTTCACTCCTCACGGAAAAGCTGGGAGTTGGAGGTTCTTTCCTGACTATATAGCACTGCGCTAGGGATGAAGTTTATGGAGAGAGAATGTCTCAGCCTTTCCTAGCTGTTTCATTGTGGGCATTTTCTTAGTCGTCTGAGGTGTAGGAATCACTTAGCTAGTTTCTGAATGTCTCTCCAGGGTATTGCTTCATTTGTAGCTGTACATTCAGTATGTTCATAGGAGGAGGGAAATTCAAGAGCCTCCTGTGTCACCAGCTTGGTCCCTGAAACTCAGTTCATCTGAGTCTTTAAGATACCTGTGGATTCACTAAATCCTTGTGATTGATTAAATCAAGACACCTATGACTCTGATTGCTTTTGCCTTTAGTTAACTGATGAGATACTTCATCAGTCTTTCTGGTACCCAATAGCTCTCTTGAGCTGGGGGAGCATTATACACAGCTAAAGATTAGTCTCCTGGGTTTAGGGACCTATATGATGGGAAGAGGGTTTTCCTGATACTCCGGGTGTAATTCATGCTCCCAAATCTCTATCTATCCATCTATCTGTCCATCCATCCATCCAGCCATCCCTCTATCCATCCATCTATCTATCACCTACCTATGTACCATACAGAAACATGTTAGGTACTCAAACAAGTAAGTACGGATGAATGAGATTTCTGAAATAAGTCTTAATTGACTTATCTGATATGTATTTGCCTTTGTTAACTCTGAAAAACAGAGATGTAGTCAGAATTGCTTGGATCCATCAAGTACAGGCATCTCTGATGTTAAATGATATAATAAATATCAGATGTGTAGCACAGTGCTCAGAGGCACTGAGTAAATTCTAATTTTTTTGAAGGGGATTTTTAAGTAGGGGTGTTAGGAAGACAAAATAATTTCTGAAAATTAATAAATGAATATTATAAAATAAAAACAATATAAATTCAGATATTTAACAAATTGAAATGGCTACATAGTGAATTATCGTATTAATTTTTAGTTTCTCCTACCTACAGAATTGGAGAAAAACTGTAAAGAATAAAGCTAAGACGATAATTCTGCTTTGGTCTGGATTCTTCCTCTGTGCTCTCAGAACCTCTTCAGGCAATAAGGTACCACTTTTGTTTCCTTATTAGCTGATGCAAAATGCTAATAATCTGTTTTACCACTGAATAAGAATGACCATTAAGAACCATAAGTGTGACCCACAGCAATGTTGGAGAGCTGAAAAGATGTTCTATTGATTTAAAAACAGGAAAATAAAATAACAAAATTGAAATCAGTATATATTTAATTAAAGTTTTGCAAAATGTAACATTTTGTCATCTAGCCAATAGGAATGCAACACAAGTATTATAAAGTTACATATATAAGTTTATGTATATGTATATATTTTATCTTCCACGAGGGGTATAGGCGCACTTTAATATAGTCTATTTACCAAGGGATGGGCTTTTTGAAAATAAAGATGAGCCTAATGAACACATGACCAATAAGCACATGAAAAGATGCTCACCATCATTAGCATCAGCGAAGTGCAAAAAACCCCCACAAGATGTATTACTTCACACCCACTAAAACGATAGAATTGAAAAAAAAAAACAAACCCGGTTTTTGAGAAGTGTTAGTGAGGTTGTGGAGAAATCAGAATCCTTATGCATTGCTGGTAGGACTGTAAGTTGGAACACTTGCTTTGGAAAACAGTTTGGCAGTTCCTGAAAAGGCTAAACTTAGAGTTACTACATGATCCAGCAGTTTTACTCCTAGGTATATAATCAAGAGAAATAAAAATTTGCATGTGAATATTCATAGCCAAATTACTCATTATAGCCCCAAAGTGAGAACAACCCAAATGTATATCAACTGATAAATGGATAAATAAACTGTGGTATATCCACACAATGGAATATTAGTTGGCAGGTACAAAGAAATGAGATACTGATACATGCTACAACATGTAGCATGAATGAATAAACCTAGAAAATATTAATGTTAAATGAAAGAAGCCAGTCATGGGAGACCACATATTTTATGATTCCATTTATGCAAAATATCCAGAATAGGCAAATCTATAGAGACAGAATGTAGATTAGTGGTTGCCCAAGGGGGAGGTGCTTTGTGGGAGACTGCTACTGGGTATGGGCTTTCTTTTTTGGGATGATATGTACTTTCTAAAGTTGATTATGATGAAAGTTAGGGTTATTCATACAGCTCTGTGAATATACAAAAGACTGTTGAATTGTGCATTTTAATTGGGTGAATTGTATGGGATGTGAATTATATCTCAGTAAAGCTGTTAAAAAAATTAAAGATGAGGAGAACCCTCAGAAAACTGCAAATGGCCCTGGAATGACTGTGTGATACCTGTCTCTCTCTAATAGGATTATCAGTGCAGTTGTTCTCTTTTTGTCCTTCCTTTCTGGCTTTCTTTTTCATTTATTCATTCATTCACAAATATTTATTGAACACACATTCTGTATCAGGCATTATATTAAATAATGTTGTTTATATAGTTGTAAAGAAAACAGATGTAGGCTTTGCCCACATGGAGCATATTATCTATTGGAGGAGAGAGAGATTAAATGAATATTCTCACAGACACATGTCTGATGACATCTTGTGCTCTGAAATTTGAAGGAAAAGACTAGGATGCTGTGGGAGATGTGGGGGAAACATGACTCAGATTGTGAATTGTTGAAGACTTTCTACCAAGTGACATTGAAACTGAATTCTGAAGGATAAGTAGGAATTAGCTGGGTGAAGATTGGGTAGAAGAACATTCTAAGCAGTTGGATCTGCCTGTGTAAGGTCTCTGAAGTGTGAAATGGTTTGATGCTTTTAAGGAAGGGCAAGCAGGTCAGACCATGGTAAGCAGAGGAGACATTGTGTACCTCACATTTGATAAGCAGGGAAAGGAAAGATCTGTCAGGGGATTTGGCTGTACCAAGACTTTTAAGTTTATGAAAGAAATAAGAGCCAATGAGAGTTTTAAAGTGGAATTCTGGCATATTTGCAATTAAAAAATACTGTTTTGATTGATGAGCTGAGAATGGTTGAAAGGGCAACATCAGTGGAAATGCAAAGACCAGTTTGGAAACAATTGCAGTGGTCCAGGCAAGATACCATGATGGCTGATGATCGAGGTGGCCAGAAGCAGATGGATTTAAGATATATTTTGAAGGTGAAACCACTAAGAGTTACTGATGGATTAGACACGGGTGATGATGTAGGTATCAAGGGTGACCCCCAGATCCATGCTTTGAAGAGCCAGTATCATTAACTTAGTTGGGGAAGAAAGAAGAACAAGCAGATTTGGAGTGCTACAAATGGTCATCTCAATGCCTGTAGATGGATCATTATAAATACTATTCAGTGGGCAGAGTTGCTTCCTTCTTGGGTTAAATAAGGATAAAAACAAGTCCTCTTGACACTTCTTGAATAATGTGTTGCAGACATTTAGGGTGATTCTATTGAACTATGTCACATACTGTGTTGTGTAGACTAAATTAATTATATTTAGTTATGTCTATTTTTATGTCTCTTTCCTTTTTTGGGCTGAGCTCCTTGAGGACTGCATCTCTTTCTTATTCACCTTTTGAGATCCTAATGTGTAGTGTGGGTTTTGGTAATAAACATGACATACTGAATGAATAAATGGAGAGGATTCATAGCAGAGTGTTGAAACTAACACACTGATCAGGAAAAAGAAGAGGGAGAGAGGATAATTTACAGTGACTCAAAGATGCAGGGAGAGGATGGCATCAGAAGCACAGTTTGAAAGAAAGATGTTGTACAAAGGGAGAAAGAACTTTTTTTTTCTTTCTTTCCTTTTTTTTTTTTGTTTTTTGAGATACTAGTAAGGAAGAGTGAAGACTGCTTCTGAGGCAAAGATGAGGCAAGGACATAGGTGTCACTGGAGTTGAGTAAAATGAAGGCTATTGGGTTGGATACAGAAATTGTTCAAGAAGATAACAGGACTTTGAGATGGAGAAGATGATTGGGAGGGTATACGTTATCAGTGAGTAGAAGGGTCAGCAGGCTTCCCACGGCCATAGGATGAAAGGCCCTTTATGACAAAGACACTGCCCATCTTTTAGCTCCATGTTCCACTGATCCCAGTTTCCTAGGTATTTTCATAGTCTCCTCTGCTTCATGTCCTCGCACGTGCAATTCCTTTTTCCTGGAATTTCCTTCTTTGTCTAATCCTTTGACAGAATTCTTACTCATCCTTCAGGACCCACCTCACATCTCATATCCATTTGGAAGCACAGTTAAATGCCCCTTATGTGAGATCCCACACATCTTGAATTTTTCTTTGCCACAGCCCTTATTAAATTCTATTGCATTGTCTGTGTACACCGGTTTTCTTTGGCAGACTATACGTTCTTTGAAAGTCGGACCTCTGCTTTACTCATCTCTTTGCTCCCGTCACCTAATTTTATACAAATTTTATATAATTTTATACAAAGCATTCAGGAGGTGCTCACTGAATGTATGCTCAATAAATGAATTGTAGAAGTCTTCTCTTTTGAATCGGAAATATGCATGAGACATTTCCAAATACAGCCAAGACGATTGATTCTGTGCATTAGACATCTCCTTAAATGTGGGAGCAAGACTCGGTGCTCTACAGCCTTGTGATAAAAGTGATCTGGGTATTTCGGGAAGAGGAAGGGTTAGGAAAAAGCAAGTGATTTTCATGTAAAAGAACCAAAAGCTGCATGTAGTTTGGTCTGATTAGATAATTTTGAAAGAAACAGCACACACAGTAATACACAACTAGGCTTTTCCCACGTGGAGAACAACTGGCATGTGGGGAGACACCAGAAAAAAATTCACTTTCAGAATTTCCTGTACCCTTAAGGTTGTATGTGATTTTAAAGGACAAAGTAGCATGATTTTGAACTATTCTCTGCTACATAGAAACAGCTTTGTTGCATGGAAATACTGTAAAGGGATCTTACCAGTGTCTCTGAAAAATTGATGAGTGTATTAAAAAATCATTTGTGGCTGTAAAGAAATTGGTAATGTCTAACTGTGAGAAGCAGCATGATAGTGGAGAGGGATCCCAGCTCTGCCTCTAACTAGATTTGTGACCTTAGGCAAGACTCTGAGCCCCAGTGTCATGATCTACATGTAAAAAAGGAATTGGAGTAGGTGTTCACTGGCTATGTGGTGTATATGTGTTTCTGTAATGGAAAACAGTTGTCTCTGTAAGGCTCAAACGGTTAAAGTTCTATAAAAAACAAAATAGAGTCACAACGTATTGATTCAAAGCTCAGTTACTCAAATTCTCAATAATATGGATATGACGTAGCCCTCAGTAGAATGTTAATTATTTGAGCTTCTAAACATGAAGAGGAATAAAATTGAAGAGTGGGCTCTGGGATGGGCCAGATAGGGTTTGAATCCTGGTTCTGCCATTTGTCGTGCCATTTTGGAGAAATTATTTAACCTCTTTAAATCTAATTCCTTATCTCTAAATGTGGTCAGTAATGGTCTTTGTCTCTGTAGGGGCATGAAAGGATTAAATGCAATATAATATTTAAAAATACTTAGCACAGTGTTTGGCCTATTATAACTGCTAAATGCTAATTCTAATATTTATATTTCAATTTGGTCTTACACATGTAAAATATAGTTTTAACTGGTCTGTATTAATGAAATTTGGGCTAGGAAGGGGTCTTTAGAGGGCATATGAGGAAAGAGCAGCTGGGGAGTGACCACAGATATTCAGACTAAGAGTAATTCAAGTTTTTCATTTTTACATATGAAGAAATAATATCTCAGGGTAGTCTTGACACACCCTGAGATCATACAGGTGAAGTTAACCAAAAATGCAATAAGAAAGAAAATCATAGGAGGACGTACTATGAGGCCACTAACATTACATTTAATGATGTCACAAGGTCTATGAGAAGCTTTCTGTATGGCTGACTTATCTGCCTGAGTAACGATGAGTGTGAGCTTTGGACCTGGGCTGATTTCTATTCACACCCAGTTTGGGAATCTTTTACCTCAAGAGCAGCAGCTGCCAAGAAGTTTCTGGATTGTGTTGTTTATTTTAGAAACAGAATCTCGAAATATCTTACGTATCGCATGCCTTAAGCTG